GCTTCCGCGCCAGTTAGCATGTACGGGGATGGGGCAGGGGAGGAAGAGGGGGCCGGCAATGCCATCCTGGACCAGTCGATCTTCTCCTTGCAGCTGTGATGCCAGACGCTAAGGGCTGCCTCCAACATCGGGCCTGGGGAATCAGAGCTCCTGGCCCTGCAAGGGCAGCCCCAAGTTCGACTCGTCTGCCATGGGGCTCGAAGCACTTTGGACACACACGATGCCTTTGAATCACTGTAGACGCGGAACTTTCTTCCATACCCCGCGGAATCGATCCTAACCACGGGACGTTCCCTGATTGATGACTACTACGCAGCCAAAGCAGGCGGTTTACCAGTGTGTTTTTGGCTGCCCAAGTGCTGATATGAATCGTACCAGAAATACGACCAGGCGCAGCAGTGCTTGCTGCAGTATGACTGAGTCCGACGCCGACGACTTACAAACTCATGTAGTGGGCCAGGGCGGCCTTGGGCTACGTAGAGGTGCGGCCCCATGCTGAACTGGGCCCCCATCGCGCCTCCAATGCCAGTGGGATCTGAGGCTGGGCACGCCCAAGTTCCAAACATTGATGATGCTTCTCCCAGGGCCTACGCCAGGCCCTGCTTCTCCCGGGCGAACATCGCGCGCTGCAATGACGCGGGATGTCGCCCGTGCGTCGGCGGCGCCTTCATGGTGGCGCGCGGCATACCAGATCTCGGCCAGGATGCCACACCCCGTCCAAACACCGCCGCCCACGAGGACTTCGCGGAGGTCATCGCGGCCAGATCTTTGCCAGAATATCGTAAGACAAGGCCACCACGTCTCGGGCAAAACTTCGCAGCCCCTGCCTGACACTCCTATGACCAAGTGGCCGTGGACGCAGCGCCCAGGTGGCCACTGCCAGCGCCGTGCCGGCCCTGCAGCAACACGTGCAAAAGGACATGCGCGATGACCCCAACACTTCAGGCACAAGGCGATTTGCAGGATGACAGGCCGCTGGCCACTGCCAACCAATCCTTGGTGAAGAGGACGCGCCGCTGGTCCTGCCACGCTGCTGTGCGTGTCCTGGTAATGTAAACACGGTTCAAACAATCAATCTGTTGAGGGAGCATTATTCTGTTGGGGTAAACTTACTCCTGCGCTGTAGTGCGCATATAGAAAATAATACGACTGCGGGGCAAACGGGACCGCTAGGGACGTCCCCCGCGACCGCCCTGGCGCTCCGCGTGCAGGGGTGGAATCCTGCGCATCCCCTCTTGGCGTCAGAACGCGCCTGCCACGCCCTGCGAATATGTCATGGACAGAGACTGCGCTCGGAGACCACCCCCTGAGCACCCTCTCCGGGTCGCGAGCGTGCTACGCCTGGTACGCCTTGCGACCTGGAGCGAACCGAGACCGCGCTCAGGGACCCCTTCATGCACACCGGCCCTCACTGGTGCCGAGAAAACGCCGCCGCGCGCGCGGCGGCCTTGCTGAATGTTTGGCTGGGAACACAGACCACGCGCGAGGGGCAAGGCCGCCAGGCGCGTTGCGGCCCCGACCCAATCTGTGTGGGACTTAACGCGCAGTCCGCGAAGGGCAAGTCCGCAACGCTTGGGTTGCGGAGGCTGCCGCGCACGCGGCGGCCCCGCGGAATTGGCCGCACTGGACGCGGAAGCCAGAGCGCGCGCACGCCGCGCGCGGGAGGCGCGCGCGGTGTCGCTGGGCCCATCAGGCACCAAACGCTACCGAGAGAGAAAACTGGACGCCACCGTGCGCACGCGCGCGCGTACGCGCGTACAGTGCCCCAACAAGACGAAAGCTACCTACTCGTCGACTGAAGCAGCCTGCACACTTGCACGCATACAGTTCATACGCATATACCACTGCATGCGCGTGCGCGCGTCTGCATACACATAGATGTATACAAACAAGCATGTGTGTATGTATCAATCGCATCGTTCGGTCTCCTAGGGATATCTTCCAAGGGGGACAATTCAACAAATACTGATTCGGCGGCGAATCGATTGCAATCGGGATCCGGGGGAGAGGGGGGGTCATCATTTTTTAAACCAGTTTTGGACATTAGCTAAGGTTGACGTCGACCGCGCGCTGCATGCGTACGGACGCATCTCGAAGTCACGGATCGAGCTGGGAACATCCGTCGGCACGAGGGCTCCTACGACGCGGCAGGTGCTGGCCATCCTCGGCCCAGCAGCGAGCGCCGCCTGCGACAGAGCACGTTGGCTGGGCGCTGGTGCGCTGTGCGGAGCGGCGGGCAGCGGCTGCGTTCCCCTGGGCGTTGCGCGCGCGGGCGCCGCAGACGGGGCACCGAGAAATGCCGCACCCGGAGGAACGGGGGCGAGGTGAAGGGGGAAAGGCTGGGAAAGGGGAAGGGAGGAGGAAGATCTTGGACGCCCGAGGGGGGTGCGGAAAGCACGGGTACAGTGCTCAACAACAAGTGCCCAAAACCGAAAGCGGCCGCTGTTGGGCGGGCGGCTGTTTTTGTCTGCAAGGAGCAACGTCCGCGGCGGCGCGGACAGCGGGCCCTGTTCCAGATGAGCAAGAGCTGCTGTTGGGTAGCGTACCCATTCTTGCCGCACCCATTTCGATCCTCCCGAAAGGTCGGCAGGGAAGGAACACCGGCAAACTGCCCTCCCCGGCTCCCAGACTTCCGACGGATTGATAGGTCCCGTCTGCGGGCGCCGGAGGGACCGACCCAGAAGCCAGGATCCAACTCTCACGGCCCCGAAGCTGCGGGGTCTTGAGACGTCAGCCCGTTCGAAGTCCGTGCCCGGGAGGGGCTCGAAGTAGACACCAAGGCATCTGCTCGGCCAGGGAGTTCGCTGTACAGACGCCGCGGCCACCCCGCCTGTGGGACGCAGGGGCGTCCATGCACTGTAAACAGCGAACTCCTTCTCGCCGGGCACCTTGGCTCTTCGGCCGGCCAAACGACGACGTTCACACTTCGAGCCCCTCCGAAGACCCCCTCTTCAGACGTCATGTCTAAGGGAAGAGGGTCCAACGCGGATCCGAGAAATCCGCGCGGACCTCCGAGTCTTCTTGTTTATGTCATTGTTCGTTTCCCTAGTCCCTAGTTTCCCCCGTCCTCCCTCCCCGTGCCCTGCGTCAAGGGTCGGGGATCTGCTGACCGGGGTCAATCCAGACCCGGGTCAGTCAGGAATTGCAAAATCCTGAAAGATCCTGCGAGATCCTGCACCCAAGCCCGGGTCAACGCGCAGGATCCTGCAAGATCCTGTAGGATCCTGCACCCAAGCCCGGGTCAATGCGATCCTGGCCCTGCAGGATCCTCCCAGATCGGGCGCTCTGGCGGACCAGGAAGGGTGCCCCCGAGGGCTTTGTGGGCCCCGGAAACGGCCAAGCAATTTTTTTCACGGTTTCCCAAAAAAGAAATGTCCCTTGAAAATGGAAGCGGCCAAAAAACGGCGACCGGAAACGGCAAAAAAACGGCTCCAGGATTGGAGCCAGAACCGGAACCGGTCGAAAAACGGAGACGGAACTGGTAAAAAAACGGCGTCGGAACCGGCAACAGAAACGGCAAAACGGAACCGGCAAAAAAACGGCCCTGTCGTTTCCAGGGCCGGGGGGGCAGCCGCGAGCCGCCGGCCAGGGAGGCGGGGCCCCCCGGACCACCACTTCCAGCAGCGGCACGAAGGCGGCCTGGAACACCGTGGCCAGCATGGAGTAGCCCGCCGAGTAGTCGAAGTCCTGCGACGGCGGCGCGCGGGAGCGAGGAGGGGAGAGGAGGAGGGAGGAGAGAGGAGGAGATCGGGAGAGAAGGGGGAGGGAGGAGGAAGGACAGGGGACGCCCACATCAGGAGGGACGAGGAGGGGGGAGCAGAAGGAGCGATGGGGGAGGAGGAGGAGGGAGGAGCGAGAGGAGGAGAGGAGGAGGAGCGAGAAGGAGCGAGGAGGCCATCATCGAATACGCCCTCCGAAATAATCGCCAATCCCCGACAAAGGAGAAGTTTGAAAGAGGATGAGGAGGAGGAGGACATGCACCACGAGGAGCGACGGACGGTTCATAAAAAAGGATGGGCACGTAGAAACGTGACTTTACCGAACTCCCCAGAAGCAATGCTTGCAATCACGTATTCTCTTCTACCTTCTAAACCGTTTGTGCTTCCGTCGCCACCACTACGCGACCAGGGGGGCATAGAGCTCCCCAGACTCTCGGCGACCGCAGGTCATCAAACTCCTCCAGCATCGACTCGCCTTCTGAATGCTCGGCGCGCGGTCTTGAGCTCTCGCTCGGTGCAGTCTATCCGCATGGTAAAGATAGGCAGCCTCCCAAGGGTGTCCTTGCATCCTTGCCTCCTCGCTCCATCCTCGGCCACTTTCGTTAGCCGCTCCCCGCTCGAAAAATGTCGTAATGAACTGTCAAGGCCCTTGCGACCCTATCGTGCATCCTTATGATACGGGTTGACCGTATCTGCTCGTCGCCACTTCATCGCCGCCTCATGTCCTGGTGTCCTGGCTGGCAGTTCCGGGTCGTGGAAGGAGACAGAACGCCATATACATAGACTTTTGGCGCTCCGCGCGGATTTCTTAAATCTGCGCTGGACCCCCTCCCTGGCGCGCGGAGCGCGCCAGGGGCGGCGTCGGAGGCGCCGCTGGGGCGCGTCCAGCGCGGATCCAAGAAATCCGCGTGGAACGCCAAACATTGATTTGAGCAGGGACCGACTGTCCCGGCATTCCTATAGGCCTACCACGAAATTTTCTCAGAACCCAAGAATGTCATGATAACAAACACAAGGCTCTCAGAACAGAAAGCCCTATGTGCTAAACAGGTCAGTCTCAGCCAGACACGTTCTAAGAGCATTTCGTACATACCACGAAAGGTTTTATAGCATTCTCTGGTGGGCCTATAGGCGAACTGTTTTCCCCAAACCCGTCCGTAAGTTGGAGGGGGGAAGGAGGAGGAGGAGGAGGAGGAGGAGGAGGAGGACCCCCTTCCCCTCCAACTTATGGTGGTGGTGGGAAACAGGCCCATCAGACCGTGACGTCCGGAAGCACCTGAGGCCCTTTCAGCCTTGGGCGCCCTGCTCCGACGCGGTGCGAAGACCCCCGCAGGAGATGGGCCGCCTCTCCTCGGGGAGCTCCTGCCGCCTCGTGGGCAGGGGGCCGCGCTGCTGGAGACCAAGAGGCTCACGCTGACGATAAGGCGCGCGGGATGGTCGGCACGGATGCTGACCGCGAGCGCGTCGAAGTCTCCCGCTGCCCAGGCAGGCATCTATAGGTGGCCTCCCCGGAGGGCTCTGGAGGCCACCGGAGACACTCTGAGATGCCCGGAGGCCACTGGAGGCCTCCGTCGGCCGCGCGAACAAGTACAACCTACGACCGTCTCGCGCACTTCCCATCGACAACCGTTGGGAACCCATGCAGACGCCATCTGGCTGCGGAGCGCCCGCGAGGTGCTCCGCGCGTGCCAAAAGGCCCCCCCCCATCATTCCTGTCGCATGCAATGCAGAATGATCAGCCCCCCCCGCGCATCACCGAGATTCTGCAACACATTGTGTCTCTTTCGGGGATGGACAGACCCCCCTGTAGTAAAACGTGGTTTAGTGAAAACGACCTGAGGCCCAAACCTGGCGGGCGCAAGCCTGGAAAATAACGGCCACGGCGCCATCTCGAGAACCGAAAACGGACAATTCACGAATCGACGTGTCACTGTTGGGGGTTATGTCCTCCCCCGACTCTTCTTTCTTTTGGAAGGGATGCTGCTTGCTGCCTCCCCCTTCGCCCCAGTCAGAATATCCCCATCGATGCTCGGGCCTCCGCCGTCTCTGGGCGACGTCGCACGCTGCCTCTCCGCCTGGAGCTTCCCCTGTGATATCCACGCTGGGCCACGTTCCGCACACGCTGGGCCGACCGCCCGCGCGGTGCAAGGCGCCACCGCGACGCCGACGGCCAAGCTTCCCCCCTCCTTCGCACGCAGCAGGCACTCACAGGAGTCCTCGCGAACACCGACGGCAAAAAGGCTGGTTACCGACAAGGGCGACTGCGTTGCGTGGCGAAACTGCGAAACTGGCTGAGAGCCAAGCACGACTAGAATGGCCGCGACAAGCTGTCCCCTTGCCCTGCTCCTCCTTGCAGTTACGTTCCATGTGGGGACAGCGTCACTGCCATCACCACCAGGACACAAAACGCTGAATCGCAATCACTGTCGCTGTCTCGCGACTCCGTGGATCTCTGCTGGGCCAATTGTCTTCCCCTCCTCCTCGAAATTACTCCTCCTCCTCCTCCTCTGCCCCTTCTTTCCCCACCCCTCCTCCTCCTCCTCCTCCTCCTCCTCCTCCTCCTCCTCCTCTGCCCCTTCTTTCCCCCCCCCTCCTCCTCCTTCCCCGATCCCGGAGCCAGAACCGTCGAGGGGTCCTCCTCCTCCGCGCGGCCCACGGTCCTCGAGCACGCAGCCCGTCCAGAGCTTGCCCGTCGGCATGGTCCGGAACCTCTCGCGGGCAGCGCCGCCGGCCGGCTGCGGCGGACGAGCTCCAGGGAGCGACAGGGGTGCGCGAGCAAGGCGGCCCTTCCGAGACGGGCCCGGAGCAAGAATCAGCGCACGTGCGCTCTCAGCTCCACGTGAGGTTCACGAACTCTCTCTTCGTGGTTCTCCTGATCGGCGGCGGAGGAGCTGCAGCACCACAAGCAGGTGCAGAGAGCCGACCGCCAGCGCCGCAGCGTAAAGCACGACGGGCGCGCTGTTGCACTTTCACCCTCCTGGGGGGGCTGGGCGATTTCGGGCTGGGGGGTCAGCACAACGCTACCCGCGCAACGACAACCCCATCCCCGGGACGGCGATGCTGACGCTGACGGGAGGCCAAAAACGACGCCGACAGCCCACCTCAGGCAGAAGGGTCTAGAAAGCGACACATGGCCACAAACGACGCCGACAAGACGACGACGACGACGCCAAACGAGGCGTTCTTTTTCGCCCTCTACGAAAAACGGGCCGGAAGGGTCTAGAAGCGACACGTGGCCACAAATCTTCCGTCACGAGGCTTGCTCCACAGCTCCACGACGAGGCGATCGTGCGGGCGAGGCTCGTGGCGACGCCTACCCTGCACCCTCGGACAAGGGACGGCGACACTGACGGGTCGAGAGCACCGAAACGGCGAAGGCGGCGGCTGCGACGCTCGAGGAGGAGGAGGAGGAGGAGGAGGAGGAGGAGGAGGAGGAGGACGAGGAGGAGGAGGAGGAGGAGGAGGAGGAGGGAAGGAGGAGGAGGAGGAGGAGGAGGAGGAGGGAGGAGGAGGCGGAGGCGAGAGGGAGGAGGAGGAGGAGGAGAGGAGGAGGAGGAAGGAGGAGGAGGGAGGAGGAGGAGGAGGAGGAGGAGAGGAGGAGGAGGAGGAGGAGGAGGAAGGAGGAGGAGCAGAGAGGAGGAGGAGGAGGAGGAGGAGGAGGAGGAGGAGGAGGAGGTCCCTGCAGAGCCTGCCCTGCACCCGGGCCTGCCAGCGCCGGGTCTTCCCGGTGAACTGGTGCTCGTAGGGGTTCTCGAGCCCCTCGGGCGCCCCCTCCGGGGTCCTGGCGAGGGGCGGCTCCCCCGCCCGGTGCCGCTCCCAGGCGACGAGGCACCTCGGCTACACGCAAGAGTGACCCTGGGTACTCCAGATTTCGTAATAAAGGGGAGGGGGTCTGGACCCTCCAAGACAAGCCACTTCAGACCTCCCCCGTGGGAGAGCCCTCCAAAACATCGTCCCCAGACCCCCCCAGGCCCTCCAAGATAGCCTGGAAGAGACCCCCCCCGAAATGAGACCCCCCTCCATTTATTACGAAATCTGGAGTACACGCAAGAGTGACCCTGGGTAAGAGTGACCGTTGGTGCGCGGCTTTTTGGGGGCCGCGTGGGGGCCAAACCTGGGCGCGCAAGCCGCTGCTGCTGCGTTTTCCGCCATCTGGGGACCGATCTGTGCCCGCACCAAAGGTCATTCCGGCGAAAGGTCACTCTTACGTCTAGTCGAGCACCGACCCAGACCCTCCCACGCCGTGGCAGGAGCCGGGAGAAGCCATCACGCGAGGCTGTGTTTTGTCTCGTCTTCGGCCCCTGGGGGCCCTCAGGGGGCCACGGGGCCGTCAGCAAAAAATGTGCGGGGCGAGAAACTGGCCCTGGCAGGTCCCCGCTGCGATGAATAAAAAACGCGACGTCGGGGGTCAGTTGAGCAGGGACCGACCGTCCTGGCATTCGTATAGGTCTACCACGGGATAATCTAAGAACAAACGAATTCTAAGAACAATATGTTCTTCCGACGTGTTAGTTGCACCAAGACCGTCTCGGCCAGAAATGGTCTAAGAACAGTTCGCGAAAGCCGCAAGAAGCTCTTGGGACATTCCCTGGTGGGCCCACCGGCCAGCCAGGACGCCTCGCCAAGGCTCGAGTCAGAGCGCCTTCGAGGGCGGCGGCTGGGCGGGTGCGCCGAAGGCGCTCGCCGCGGGAGCAGCCCGCGCTGGCTGCGGCGGCGGCCGGGCGCTGGGGCCCGCAGGGCACGCGCGGGGACGACCTCTCGTCGTCCGTCTCGGAAGAAGTAGGCGAAATGGGAAGGCGGACAAAGTAGATGGTTTCCAGGCCCTCCCAGGGAACAACAAGACACAACAAAAGCATATCGATTCTCGAAGTAGGACGGCGCTTGAAGTAGATTGGGACCTGGGAGTCCAGAAAATGCCTGATTTTAACGACAGGCGTGTATAGGCAACTCCTCCTCGTGGCGCTACCAGGTGTGTAGGAGGGACGGTCGCGGCCTTCTGCTCGATGCTTCCTCGCAGCGTAGGTGCACTGAACATTTGAACCGCCAGCGGGTACAAAGTGAGCCCGAGTCGTTCTCAAATGTTTGCCAACGCGGGACCCAAGCATTGGCCTCTTGCTGCTTTCGATGCGTAACCTACAAGCCCGTGTGGTGCAGCGGATGTCGTGCACCCCATGTGGGGACAATCTACGGGGTGTAACTGATGTGCAGGACTCGAAATCGCAAACCACAATGATCGATCAACGGCGAACTTCTGGATATCATATGCGAACGCTTCGTTTCCCCAAGCATTTGTCCCTGTCGGGCGGAACACGTATGACAGAACAAACCATGCCATTCGATTGTCCATGCAGGAAGGCATTTGGAGCAGACTGGGACCTGACACCCAGCAAATACACAATCCAACGCCCACTTCCGAACTGACAGGAAATGGACTCCACGATGCTGGCCGGCACTGGCCAAAGAGAAGGGGGACGAGGAGGAGGGGAGGACTAATCGTCATCTCCTCGTCCTCCCCCGTCTGCTCTCCATCCGTCATCCTCCCCATCTCCACGGGCGCGAGAGCAAGGGCAAACGGCAGTGAAAGGCCTGTCCGCTGAACGGCCCGGCGCTGGCCCGCTCCGCCGCCGACGCCGCGGCCACTGGGCAGTGAAAGGCCTGTCCGCTGAACGGTCCGGCGCCGGCCCGCTCCGCGGCCGACGCCGCGGCCATTGGTGCCGCATTTTGTGTCTGGTGTCGTCTGCCGTCGTCGTCGTCGTCGTCGTCGTCGTCGTCGTCGTCGTCGTTCTCTCTTTCGGCACCTGGCCTGATGGGCCTGTTTTCCACCACCACCACCACCAGAAATTGGAGGGGGGAAGGACGAGGAGGACGAGGAGGAGGAGGACGGGGAGGAGGAGGAGGAGGAGGAGGAGGAGGAGGAGGAGGAGGAAGAAGAAGAGGACCCCCTCCCCATCCTACGTATGGTGGTGGTGGTGGAGGTGGAAAACAGGCCCACCGTGGCCCCCACGCGCAGCCTTGCGTCCTCCCTTCCACGCTCCTGCCCGGTGTGGCCGCAGGGTGTCTGCACGCCCGAAAAGGGGTACGGAAACATTGGGCACAATGCCCAACAGCAAATGTTTGAAGGGGAACTGGGACACACAAATAACTACACACAAATAAAAACATATCCCCCTATTTTCCCATATTTTCTGGGTTTTTGTCTTCCCCCCCAATTCCTATATTTTCCCACATTTTCGGGAGAATCGCCGATGAATTGTCTCTGTGTGTTTCTTTCCCGGCCTGAGGGAGGGCCGGCGGCCTCCCGAGCACCCCCCTCGGGTCGCGGAGGGCCCCCCGGGGGCTCCCAGAGGTCGGGCTGGGCTGGGGGCGCCGTGGGCCACGCGCGCGTGTGGCAGCCCCGACGCCTCCTCGCCGCTCCCGCGGCGGCTCGGGCCCCTGCTCGGCCCTGCTCCCCGAGACGCTTGGCCGCAGCGGCGCGGACCCACGCCGAGGGCCGGAGGCAGCCAGAGGGGGCAGTGCGGGGCCTGCTCGGGCACAGCTGCGCCCCAAGGCCGACGCTGCCGCCGCTGCTCCTCGTCCTTTTCCTCTTGCATCTCCTCCTCCTCCTCCTCCTCCTCCTCCTCTTCCTCTTCCTCCTGCATCTCCTCTTCCTCTTGCATCTCCTCCTCCTCCTCTTCTTCCTCCTCCTCCTCCTGCTTTGTGTTCGTCTGGCGCCACAGCTCTGCAGGGTGGCGAGATTACCCGGCTGTGGTTCTGGCGAGATTTCCGTTTGGTTTTGTAAACTGTTTTGGGGCACGGCCCATTTCGAACAATCGCCTTGTCTCGCGAAACCATATGGTCTCCAAACTGTCTTCACGTTATGGACTGGTTGGCGCGCTTACAAATGAGAATCGATGGCGGGGCGCTCGCAGATCGCATCGGTCCACGCACTATAACCAAACGTGCACTGTGCACGGCCACCAAAAACATCAATCAGCTTGGCGGAAAATTGCAATCGCAGTCTGGGCAATTAATCGGACATCGTCTGCCAGGGAACATCGAGCGCGGCTGCGCGTGGCGCGCGTGGGCCCGCACATCGAGAATGTAGCCGCTGCCCCGCGCAGAAAAGCATTGTTTTCGCGATGTGGGCTACGCAGGTGGATCACCCGCTACTTAATCAGCATCACAATGCACGCGCACCGCGCCCGACTGCGGCAAAAACCGCGAAATCAGCAGTGAAATGTTATCAAATAGTTCGAACAGCCAAAAATATCCCACATTCAAAAACGATGATGCGCCAAAACTACACGGCGGTAGGCGTAACCATGATGATACATGCGCTCACAAGGGGCAAATCTCGAGGTTGCAGGAGTTGGTTATTTGTTGACGAGAGGGCGCACGTGCACGATGGGTGCAAGCATCCCTGCACGATGTCATAGGAACCGCCAACCCTTGCGATCCCACGGCGCTGCTGCCAATTAGCTGGACCACAAATGTGCGCACTAACACTAATGAGCCACGCTATGCAGTTAATCTCGTCAGATCAGCACATGAATGATCCATTTCATTCTTTATAGACGGCGGGGGGCCAGCTGCCAAAACAGCAGTGGCGTGAATAATAACACCAAGTCTACGCAGGACCAAGAAACGCTCTATTCATCCCTAGGCTGGCGCTCCACGCAATCAACACATCAACATTTATTGCATCAGCCCGTGGCCCCGCTACCATGCAACTGCGCTGCGCCGAATGGGCCGCGGGCGTGCGCATGCACTCGGATGCACAAAAGCCGATGGCTACGGCGGGTGAAGGGGCAAACGAGGATGCGAAGAAACACGGCGACGACGACGGCGACGAGAGAAACAAACACGGCGACGACAACGAAAGGCAAGGGGAGGAATGGCACGTGAGTGAGCTCAACAGCGCCGCGAGAACACACCTTCGCAAAGAACCTTTCGCAGAGGGTGCCCAAACCATGCGGCTGGATAATATGCAACCCAGGACGACAAAAAAAACGGAGACTGAGACGACGCCACCGAGGAGAGCGAAGGGAGCGCGAGACATGACGAGGAGGACGAGACTGTCCCGGGGATGGGAAGACGATCGGGGGCAGACTTCCGCAAAAGTTCGCGCCCCGGCTGCCGAACAAGAGTCGGCCGTGCCAAGCGTGCCGCATGCCTGAAGGCACCAAATGTAAAATTCCATTCTCTGGCCCCAAAAGGCGACAATCTCAACGTGGAATATATGAAAACGCACGCAGAATGTACGACGGCGCGCGCGCGTACGCGCGCGCGCACGCGCGTCGCGCGCACGATGCATCGTGTATTCGTTTTTGAACACAGATCCACGATGTTAGATCGAAAACCCAATGGGGAAAACCCACTGTAAAATTGCATTCTCTGGTCCCAAGAGTCCACCATCTCAACGTGGAATATATGAAAACGCACGCAGAATGCACGAAGGCGCGCGCGCGTACGCGCGCGCACAATGCATCGCGCATGCGATTTATACACAGGTCCACGATGTTATATCGAAAACCACATCGGGCAAACCCAATGTATGTTTTATCTCTGGTCCCAAGAGGCGACCATCTCAACGAGGAATATGGAAATGCACGCAGGATGCACGACGGTGCGCGCGCGCGTACGCGCGCGCACGATGCATCGTGTATGCGTTTTATACACAGGTCCAGAATGTTAAATCGAAAACCAAATGGGGAACGCCCAATGTAAAAATTCACCCTCTGGTCCCAAGAGGCGACCATCTCAACGTGGAATATATGAAAACGCACACAGAATGCACGACGG